GAGAGGATGGATATGTGAGCAGGTGCCCCGGAGCAGGTAGGGCCTCATGTCCCACTCCCTCTGCCAGGGCAGGGAAAAGGAGTTTCCATCTCTGCCTCATCAAGTCCAACAGCTTCACCCCAGTCGTGCAGCCCAGGTGTCTCTCATCCCTCTAAGGTTTCCTGGGTTTCTGTTTTCATCTCCTTAAAAAGCACCCAGCCTTCCATTACTGGTACTTCCATTACCCAGCCGTCCTTGTTACTGGAAAGCCCCAAGAATGGCCTAAAAACATCATGTGTGCTTAGCTAAAGTGGAAATCAAAGTAATCTCACTTTTTATAAATATTTAATTTTAAATTTAATTAAGGAATCTCAGCTGATAAAGCTTGGGCACTTATGGTTGATTTAATCCCTGTGTATTAGGGAAAAATCTGGCTGAAACTCTATTTCAGGTGTGACAGAAATGATTTTACAAAAAATTGTTCTCTCAAGTAAGCCCCCCAAAAATAAAAGTCATCAGTTAAGCCTTGATGCAGCCAGTAGGACTCAGGTATTTACACATACAACTTTACAAAAATATCACCTAACCCACGTTTCTGGCAGAAATCGTGGCAGAGTTACTCACCAGAGTAGTTGTAACAATCATAAAAGCAAGTAGAAATCGAAGTTGTCCGGGGTGGCTCACTCCAGGAGGGATGCTGCGATGGGCAAACTGAGTTTGAATTGTTCTCATGATTGCTAATATGAATGAAGCAACAATAATCACCAGCAGTATCACTGGCAGTAGATTCAAAAATGCCATTTCACGTAGTCAAATGTGAAATGTCTTCATGCCTTTCTTTGGTTTGGCTTTCTCAGGTAACTTTAAGCCCTAGAGCTGTCCCAGTTCCAAGAGATCTTGGCAAGTGTTGTCAGACACTTAAAAGTCCTTGGAGGTGTTATGCAATGGGCCAGCACTCACCACATTGGCAAAGAGTCAATGTGTTTAATATCCTGTTTATCTTTATGGTAATTGTGGCACTGATAAAGGGCCTGGTATTCTATAGGGAATCCTTGGAGTGTGGATGGTAAGAGTGAGTGTTCAGAGGCAGCAGCTGAGTCCTGCGTGGAGTTCTAGTTTATGACGTGTATTTACAAGCAAAGCCAGTGAATGTGGAGGTTGAATTGTCTCGTTCAGCTGATCTGCAGGCACGACATAGTGCTTCCTCTGTTGTGGGCATGCTTTAAGTAGTTTGGAATATGTAGTTTTAACAAGGATATTTAGAAGAGAGAATGGGAACTAACACGGGGGGGCAGGAGGAGGGGGCACCTAACTAATGTGCTCTGCAAAAGTAAATGCATCAGTCTTATTTTCTTGTTAGAGTATTTGAGGTTTTGAGCAACCTGGTCTAGTGGAAGGGGTCTCTGCCCATGGCAGGGGCTTGGAATGAGATGAGCTTTAATGTTCCTTCCAACCCAAACCATTCCCTGATTCTAGGATTCTGTTTAAGCACAAGTTTTTCAGCATACTCGTATGTTTGATAAACATAGGAAAACACAACATTTCCTCCACTGTAATTTAAACTAAGCTGTCAATAGAGTATCTCTACTGGGGGCAGTTGCAGCTGTAACTTCATTTCTTTTGAGTCTAAAATACCAGTTACCCACCCACAGACATCTTCTGTAAGTTGGTGACTGGGAATCTTAGACTCGGGTGCCACATGTAGCATAGGGCACAGGCTCTGCATTACAGCTCTGCAGTGCCACTGCCTCTCCCCTTTGCCAAAACACACCCTTCTAGGAATAATGGAATCATCACTTACAACTGAATAAAATAGGTCAGACCAGATGTTGACTTAAAATTTTACTGCATTTTTTATATTTACTGAGAGAACAACAAGTGTCTAGTCCAAATAGATCACTGAAATAGGCAGACTGTGCGTGGAATACTTCAAACAGCACTAAAAGACACTTTCATAGCACTCTTGAAATACCTTTTACATTACTCACCCTGGCATAATTGCTTTTTAACCAATTGTCCTATCTGAACTTCTTATATGGAATTCAGAAGCATAAAAGACCACAGGAATTTGGCAAATCTTACAGGAACGAAGAAAAATGTCGCTACAAGCTTTTCAGAAAGTTTATAGCGTTGTCAAGACCCCTTTTTCCAGATGGAAATGACAACCAGTCGCTACCAAAGGAGTTTATGATTCCATGGAATCCATCCTCGAGGTGGCACCAGGTCACCCGGACACCGTTGTCCTCCAGCCTCTTCTTGTACAACAAGCCGTCGTCCCGCAGCACGTCGTACTCACAGGTCAGGATGAAAGATTCTGGCAGCTGCTGAAGAACTGTGTCTTCAGCCAGCAGAGGGCACAGGTTGGGCTCACAGAATCTCTTCACCTTCTCAAAAACTTCAGTTGTACAGTCAAGCAGCACGCGTGGCTTGTAGCCTCTGACCTTAAATTTCTCAGGGATGTTGTCTGGACTCACCCACTTTTGGTAGTTTAATTTAACGTCTATAGGAATATGGGAACCTTCCAAGACCTCTTCCAGATTCGTTGCATTCCCATTGAGATACTGTAATACATAGAAAGCAGCACGTTCTCGGAATAACAAAGGGACTCCCCGATTCTGTTGATAAGACGGTAAATTGAAGTCCAGGGCCTGAAGGCCCGGGTAGAGCAGGATCTGAGCACGCAGTTTGGGGAGGTCTGACCTGCCTGCAAGGGTCTGGCTCACAGCAGCTGCCAGGTTGCCCCCAGCACTGTCCCCACAGACAGTGACACGGGCGGGGTCCACGCCGTAGTGCTCCAGGTGGTGCAGGAAGTGCTGGGTGGCGTTCAGGCAGTCTTCGTAGGCAGCGGGGTATTTGTGCTCAGGGGCCAGCC